AATGGGAACAATGGAAACAATGGAAACAATGGAAACAATGGAAACAATGGAAACAATGGAAACAATCGGTACGAACGGTTTGACCACCAGAATGAACTTCGGCAGGAGTGCGAGTAGAGGAGTGGGGAATCTATGAAAAGGACCTGGATCTGTAAGGCAACAGCCGGCAGAATTTTCATGTCTAGAAAGAAGTGCCGACACGGTTTACAATTCGAAAATTTATATCACTGAGTACGAACGCACGTGAGCTAGTCGAGCAACCAGTTCGCATTAGACTTGTTTCAAAGAAAGTGAGATTGATAACTTACTGATCACCGAATTTGTGACAGAATGCCAAGCTCGACTGCTCCGTCTTCCCTCCCTCCCACTGGCGCGAGACACTGGAATCAGGCTTACTTGCGGATGACATCCAACCGAAGGAGCTGACACATGCCTTCACTCCGAATTGCGATTCTAATGCTGATGAATCAGCATACAAGGGCGCGTTCATGGCATATCAGCACAAGCAACGGGGAAATCAGTCCGACTTTCAGCGGAGGAGTTGGGGTCCAGCATGCACAACACTTCCCCTGGCTTATTTCTATCGGCGTCACGTTTTTAAACGTGTTTGATCGTCAAGTCCGCCATCTTGTGTCAAGCCTACGCATGCAGAGATTAGAGCTATGACATACTAGCTCAATTTTGCAAAGTCGGAGTCGAATACTGTGAACTGTATTGCGTTTCAAAGAAAGGCCCTAGCGTGTCGAAACTTGGGGTCCGGTACGTGACTAGCACGGGATTCTCTATCTGTCACGCCCCAGTTGAATTCGCAGTGAAAGGTCTTCTCTTTTGCCGGAGTGGCTCTCTCCAATTTCTGAGATGCGAAAGAACCCGAGCTTTTCTACGTGATCGCTGGCAATCGAGAAGCGAACGTGTCGAGAAGAGCCATAATTTTGAGTCGCGCGCTTCGTTTGCGCACCTTTTTCGGTTGTCTAAACCACGATCCGAGTCTTTAGTTGCGCCTTCATAGTGGCAACATTGGGGACGCACAAAGGAAGTACAGGGCAAGATCCTGAGCCGAATTTTGAATGGTCAAAGTATGCTATCATGTATTTCTTAATGAGCAGAGTGATGAAGAAGCCACTTTCCAGATCTTCTCGAAAACTTCGTCACTAAGCGCAGAGGAAATATTTACCTGAGCAGCTAGACATGTGCTTTTCGGTCGTCGATCTGTCTAAATCTGGCTTCAACAACGGCGAGCGAGAACGATGCGTACGAAAGGCAAATTATCATGGCCGGACTAATAGAGGCATGTACCGTATTCATCCATCTCTTGATGCTCGATCTTATAGGCTGATGGTACAGGAGGGGGGGAGGGGGCAAAAGTCGAACGCGAGCTGGATTTTCGCGTTTCCGACTTCCTGCCAAACTATAAGGAGAATTCAGAATCAATTGTCCTCACGGTCCATGGTCATGACTACCTTTTGAAATAGTGCTAGAATTGTTTAAAGCCTGGTGGGTCTGCTCTGTGTAGAAGCTACCACATAGCTCCTATATTTTGGCGAAATGATGAGATGAGAAAAACACGCTCATCGACCTTTGTAACTTTGCAGCACTGTGATTTTCGCATCTATCTCCTTTACGCCTTCACTTTACAGCACATTTTTTCGGACCTCTACGTCTTTGATTGAGATCATAGCAACAATGCTGGGCCGCAGTTATTCTGGCTTCATCCTCTATCGCATCTGTTCTTGCCTTGCACCAGACTAGATTGCTGCTGTTCAATTCCTGTGACAATGCGGTGAAAACCCGTGAAAAGCATCTGTCACATGGCAGCTCCCCGTCGCATTTGGACTTGTTTCGTCGACAATGCCGGCAAGCCACACGCACTCGCTTCGCATATGTCAGCTATTAATGTTGCCTATTGTACTTCCTCGTTATAAAGATCAGACTGACCTTTAGCTGAGCTGAACCTTGCAACCCGCCTTCCCTGACCATGCTCAATCATCGATCGACTGAGAGATCACTTCGTGGTCTTAAGGATGCGGAAAAATCTGTCTGCTCATCGTTTTGGTCAAATTTTGATAAACTTCTCAGGCCCAAGTGTCGAGCCACCAACGCGAGAAAGGTCGGTTTCACGAGATGTTATCCTGAAAAATCTGAAATCTCCCCTCCCCCACCTCTCCTGCTCCATAATGCAAGATGTTTTCATCAGCAGTATAATCATGGAGTGGAATATTAAATCAGGTTTGAGATATTTTCGTTCTAAAAATGGCAGGCTCGAATCACGTAGAAGAGTGCTTTTGCTTTTCGTTCGTGAAAAAAAAAATTGTAGCAACAGAGCGAGCAGAAAAGTCGGTGCGAGCAGCAGGACTGCAGAAAAAAAAGTTATCTTGATCAAACACACCAAAGGCCAAGCTGGGTGCCGCGGCAAGAGGAAGAACTTCTAGTGCTTAGCAACGAGTCGCTTCAGCTTCTTTGACACATGTGCACCCTTTATCCAAATTTTCCTTAGCGTCGACTGATCTGCTTCTCTATATCACTATTGATACAACGGGGGAGCATCTATGCTTAGTCTTCCCATTTGCATGTGAGAACAGTCCCTTCAAAAAAGAAGAGCATTGCATTGTCGCGCTTAACCCGACAATTTTCATAACCTGATAACGCTCACCTTTGTGCATAAGAAGATATTGTGGTGCCGTGGTGGTACAACTTGTTGCTGCCTGTACACCATCACTCTTGATTTGGACTGTGACGATCTAGCCCGTTCGTCGTCCTACTTCAGCCTTTCCGAAGCGAAGCGATCTCGACCTCTTCTCAAGTTCTGACGCTTGGTGCAGGAACGAGGCTGATCCGCCAATTGAGAGTGCCCACCAGAAGATACCTGTTGTCCGACTCTGGACCTCTGGACATCCTTTGGACATTCTTCTTGCCTTTTGGACAGGTCGCTGGAGGTCGAAGCGCATAGAAGAGATAAGACAAAGTCGGCTCTCTCACTAAACAACGTCCTCGGTGGAATCCGACGTTGGCAACTCGAGCCCAATTCCTAAATACAATGGAAGGATTCACGAGTAGTGCCACCCCTGCTGGGGGTACAATGACCTACACAGCTCTGCTCAACGCACGGGACTCGCCCACGCCGCAGATTGCCTCCTCGCAGCAGGTCAGCATGAGCTTGACATCAGCACCGCACAGCTTTGATGGTCTCACGAGCGCTCCGAAGCCTGCATACATCTCCTTCGAACAGCTTCCATGTCCTCAAGATGCTCACCAGCTGTCATCGATCAGCTCCAAGACTGATGGCTTTTCTGGAATTCAAGCAACCCTCGATGATAATACCATTGGGCACTCTTCGATGCACGATAACAATGGGCAAGAGCTTCAGATCTATCAGGATTTCGACGTTCAGGAGCAGGCGTCAAGATCCAAGTAGATACGCGGAGCAAGCATGGGAGGGAGAGCAGCAACTAATACAACAATGTCATTGTGATAGCCATGAGCAACAAAAGCAGCAGCGATCTTCTGTCACAGCTCAAGAATACACCGCTATCCGACGTCCACTATTGTCGCCCTTAGTGCCAAGGATCAATTTCAATCCCGCGCGTGTGCAGCTTGACTACGGCCGATGCGCCCCGGAGTGGCGTTTGAGCAGACACTCTGTCTCGTCGCTGTTCGACCTTCACGCAGGCGCAAAATCCCCCGTGGCACTGGATGTGCGGCAATGGTATGACGCATTGTCCCAATGCAAACCGTGCCAGTCTTCGACGCGAGTTGGCCATTCACGGCAGCATGGTGCTCCAAATCAGCCAACGTCATGTCGATCAGAGCACCAAAGCTTGAAGCAAGCAATCCATCAGCCTCATTTTGTCCACCGTCATTCCCCTTCCGAACCTTCCGACGACGCGATCGATGTTTCCGCATTCAAGAGTTCTTGTCACTATTGCTCTCTCAATGACTCGGGAGAACATTTCTCGATATGGGACACCGACAATTGTTCGCGGGAATCGCGTCTCGCGGCAAACGCCTTTGTCAGTTCCCGTGATCACCTTTTTTACTCCAGACCTCCCCCCTTTGAGCCTCAATTGGGTGCTTGCTCCAAAATTGCAGTTATCGATCCTTGCACTGCCTTGGCTATAGCGTCTTCGCCGTCGTTCATCGAGCCCAGAAATTTCGTTTCGACAATTCTTCCTGCAGGAGCAAATGATTCCCTGCAGCCTTCGTTCCTCCATCATCTCGGCGAGCACGATCAAGGTTGCCGACAACGCCAAACGTGCCAAGCGTGCTTTCGATGTCTTGTTTACTACCCACACGAGCAGCAAAAGGACCGAAAACGGCGACGTCCGCAACAGCATCCCGGCAAATTGGAGACAATCAATAGTGACGGTCAGATCTCTTCCGGCAACAAGATGGAAAAAAGGGTCAGGGTTGCCTGTCAATTCTGTAACCGCAGAAAAATCAGATGCGACGGAATCGTGCCCTGTATGCATTGCGAGAGAAGAGGTATTGAGTGCGTCTATCCAGCAGGAGGACGGTGCCAGTAGCAAAAAGTACTTCCGGGTAATAGAAGAAGAATTAGCGTAGGCGCGAAGATCCGAATTCCGAACGAAGGAAAGAGGCGGGTGTACATGTGTCACCTAATTGTCTCTCAGCTCTTCACTGCTCGACGCAGAGAGTAGGGACCTTTGTTTCAATGTAGAGCTCGGTGCAATCTGAGGCTGTCATCCACTTCGGTAGCACCAGAGGGCGAGCATTATTTTGCCTTGTCCCTCTGCATTGCCAGAAGACGATGGGGAGGTCGGCCAAATTCACGCTGATCACTCGCCGTTTCGACATACCCAGCTTGGTCGTCCCTACTGTTGTGTAACCAATAGCGCCACTTTCAGGGTAGCGAAGATTCACTGGGCTCCCAAAGCACCTCACTGCAATACTCAGTACAATCATCTTCTGGTACGGCACCAGACGCCATTCTCCCTACTGGCCCTTCAATTCTGGCGTCGACCATAACCATGCACAGACGGCGGGCGCCGTTGAGAAATTTCGCTTCCGACTGGACAAAATGAATGTGACTTCCGTCTCAGACTATCATTGAATGTTACCCTCTCGTGCGTAGTAATTCAAATTTAGAAGCATTCGCACCTCCTCCTAATCTTGCTTCTTTATCGCAACCCCACTTGTCATTGTCCCCACTTGCACTAGCGGTGGGGCAAGCACCTTCCCGCTATAATACCTCATTATCGCAATCCCACTCGTTGCTGTACCCATGTGCACGTAGTGTGTGGGGTGAGTATCTCTGCTTAAACGCACTTCTACTTGTCTTCGTGCCCACTTGTCATTGTCCCACTTGTTCATTGTCCCCAGTTGCTGTAGCGTCTCTGATGAATTCTCACATTGATATAGAGGCAACGACATCAGAAACCCGCTAAAAATAGTGGCTTAAATGCCGCGTAAATGAGAAAACTTTCAACTAGTCTAGTGCCATCTTCGGCAGCATCTTCCCTAAACAAGATAGTCGGGACAAATATGTAGTGCACAAATTAAATACTCCTTCCGTCTCAAGAAGCTCTGTGTCGTTTAGCGTCTAGGTCGTTGCCACCGCTTGTGGACAAAGTTGTCGCACCCTCGAGCACGCTTAGATAAAGATAGCACGTAGATGACGAGACAATGGTAGACCAACCATCTGGACCGTTTGCCTTACCCTTTTTAGCTTTAAGCGAATCTTTTAGTGGATGATAACGCGGCAAACATTGGCCTGAGAGGCTCAAGGCTAACAGAGGAAGCTATCTCCTACCTCCTCGCTCTGGCACGCATCGTCGCTTCTGACAGCAGCTTTTAACGACAGGCTCGAGCGCATCAGCATTTGCACCATTGAGAATCATTGAGAGATATTGAGTCTGGGCACCTCATCAATGCGACAAGAGAGATTAGAAGGACCGTGGCACTGGGTTGAAGGGTTTCAATTATAGCTTTGCTTATCTTCTATTCACGCCGCAGGTCGCCAATCGACGGGTGGTGGGCAAGCAAATTCTTCGAAGTTCCTTAAGTCGTGAGTCACATCCTCGGTACACGTCTTCTCATCCACTGACCATCGCATTACTTCGTCTCTTTCAGCCATGCACATCATTCACCTCACAAAGGCCAATACTTTGGACTGGCGACCTGGTATGCGCGATCTTCAGCTGCACGACAATGTGCAGACCTGTGCCCAATTGCTTGAATCTCTCGATGCATTCCTTGAATTGCGCCTGCCTGAATCCTATTTCGTGCAGATTTACTTTCACACCATCTGCTTTGCCATCATCATACTCATAGGCATTGTCACTATGCTCAAGCGGATCCACAATTCAAACTTTTTCGTCTTCAATCTACGATGTGCGGAGGAGCGATAATCATTGTGCCTCACAACACCAATTGCTGACTGGTGAGAAAGGTCCTTGTTCAAAGTAGATCCCGAACTTTTTGCTCCATCTGATCCTTCTTGTGTGCGCTTGTCGGTGCGACCGTCAGTTTTTCGACTTTCTTTTTGGAGCATTTTGGATCGTTTCCGAGTCTATTGTCGTCCCTATCTTTCGCGGCCACACCAGTGCTTTCATGCTTGGGTTCTTGCTTCTCTACCCTTGGCTGCTCGTGTGGCTTGCAGCTTGTTTCTCCCTTTGGGGTATGTTCCATTCGATCCCGACTCTACCATGGCGTTTTCAGCAGCAAACTTTTCAGCAGAGACCGGATCGTTGGCAATCCTCGATTGCACGATTGACCAGCGTCCTCTTGATTTCGGTGCCCGTTGGCGTATTGACGTGCTCGATCGCCTCTTCTCGGCAGGTACTACAAGATGAGCGATGAGCTCCAACATTCCGTACAGTCTGCCTTGATCTTGTCGGGCGGTACAGATATAGCAGATTTAGCGGAGAGAGCGGCCGCACTCGAGGTCTGGGAAAAGCTGAAGCTGGCATGGTGGTGCGGCGCCATTGGCTTTTGCCAACGGACTGCTTTCGCCTGGCTCACCACTGCTTTCCTGTCTATCATAGGAATCGGCTTACTGTATGAGCTTGTTGCTCGCTTGCGCCACATCCGAAAACAACGGAATGACGCGAGCATGGAGTTAGCAGCACCTCTCATCAGACAACCCTCTTTTGAATATGGCGACGGAGGGTCACCCTGGCCTCAGCACACCTCTGCAGACTGGGCTCGAAGAAGTTGCACGGGAAGAAGGCGGGCCTCAAAGAACCTCCTCGACAGACGTCATTGCACAGCAGCATACGGGTCGACGTTCTAGTCCACATCTTTGCCCAACACCGACGCCAGGCGCACGAATTTCAATCGGCAGATGGCGATTTCGAAGACCTTCGCGATTAGCTAATTTCAATACAAGATACAGTCGGGAATTACAGCGCGGATCATCAAGCTTGACAGAGTACGATTTTAGCGCAGATACATTCTGTCATCGTCACAGTTGTCACGACAGTGGCCCTTGATGCGGTCAGTAGCGGCCCAGAAGCCCTTACCTCTGCATTTTACCTTTACAACATCGCTACCGACAGGCTCAATATCTTGTGTGGGGGTGACATTTTTGCTGTTTGCTTCTTCAAGTCTTACGAACTATTTTTGACAATATTATATTTCAACCCTCGTCACATCTCACGGCCGAAAGGAGCGGAGGAGAGCCTGATACTGTTCTGGCAGAATGCTTGAATGAAGGTCTACAGGAGATGAGACTCGAACCCTAACCCTAAGAGTGACTAATGTTGATATCAATATTGCGCCTTCGACTCTTCAAAATCAATTTTGCAATCTTCTTAAAGGCAGAGACAAAGGTCTCTGCGTCGCCACAGACCAAGTTGACGTTTTTGGGGCCAACATCGAGGCCTGTCACATTCTTCCCAAGTCAAGAGGGGACGAAGTGACAAGAGAAAAAAAAGAATACGCTCGTCTTGACTTTCACCCTTGACTTTTGTGCGCTTTGTTCCGCTACAGCTCATCCGTGAATGTCGGACGACAGTACGATGAGCAGTGACGACATTAAAAACGGTTCCATGCTTTTGAGAACGCTTCATAGGACCTCCGATCGCTTTGAGCGGAGCGACTATGTCCAAGTGAGATGAGTGGTCGAGGACGAGGTCATGACGTGCTGTTATATAAGTATAGGGATGCTCGAAAATGATATCACTCTTCTTGACTTTTGAGATCAGAAGGTACCTTCATAGCCCACTCTTTTGTCGACAACATTTGTTTCAAAGATGCTCATATAAGGTCGATGTTCCAAGCAAAAGGCGAAGAATACGACGCTCAGCCGTCAACCCTCTATTTGTAAGTCCGGCTCTCACGGGGTAGCACAAACAAGGAGCGATTGCTGATCCTCTTCTTAGCTAACATGGCACTACGAGCAGTGCGTCAAGGCTAGGCTACGCCCTTACGATTAAAAGTGCGAGTCAGCTCTGTATTTCATACCATTTCACAAGAAGGAGGCACGTCTCTCAGAGCTAGCTCAAACTTGATGACAGCATTGACAAACGGTGAAGCCGGGCTTCCTACTGTGGTAATAGGGTCGGCTGGAGAAATGAACAATCTTCCGTCGCTGTCCCGCTCTTTGAGCACTCCAGGTCTCTCGAAGAATATTCCTCGCTTTTTGCCTGGCTTCGTGCGCACTTCCAGATCTGGCGGTGGACCAGGAAGGTTCCAACTCTCCAGTTCAGCTTCATGACCAGCAACGTAAAAGAGACTCAGAAAGGAACTTTGAGTGGTGTGCGTATACTTATGGAAGTTGTGAGGCCACGCATGTGAGATACGTGGGGAAGAAAGACCGCCGTCCAAGACTTATTGCTTGAAGACATAGAAAGGCTTGTTTCCATTTCTCCTACTCCAGCGCTTGTCCCAGATCAAATCCTTCTGCGGTACCTCTGATTCTTGCCAGGACACATTGACGATAGTGCCAGTCGGCCAAACGTGGGTCTAGATATTCGCGAGGCTGAACTCGCATCTCGGTCCTCGGATCAATCCTCCGTCCATGTATTTGCTCCATCTCCGGGTCTTCCAATGCGAAGAAATGTGGATAATACATGCCGTCCTGCGGAGAGCAAATTATTGCGTGAGTTCCTGACCTGGATCATTTGCATTGCGAGCTCTAACCTTGCAGTACCAACTCCACTCGTACCTGTCATACGCTCCGTGGAGATCGTCTCTAATCAAGAAGCCCATGGACGTTGCGTAGAGCTGATTTTCAAGCTCGAGACCAAGTATCGCTTTGTAGACCTGCTCAATCCCTAGAGTCACTACGATTATGGATCTTACGCAATGCTGATTAGATGAACTCACATCGAGTCGGCTCACAGGAACGACATGTGCAGAAGTGCACCGGCTGCGTTCAGAGTGAGTGAGGATACAACGGCCATCTCTCGCTAAAAGAGAAGAACGAAATTTAGACTGAAATAGATGATAAGCAACTTGCAAGCGAATCCATCCTATGAGCTCGTCAGTCGACCGAAAAAGCTCACCTGGCCTGAACGCGAGGTCGTGTGCTTCGAATTGCTGTAAGTGCTTTCGCTGACAGAACTGGCTGGCTTTGGCAGTGGACTCTTGCCCTCAGGCCCTCGGGTTGGTGTCAGCCTCATTAAATTCTCCTCGATGCTCGAAAAGATATACTGTGATGATTCAATGGGCTCTTCGGATAGATCGAGCGCTCCACCACAGGGGGATCGAAGCTCGCCCCGCTCGACATATAAAAGCTGTATGACGTGGTGGACGAAGGCGAGTGTGTTGTCTCCCCCTTTCCTTATAAATTGTTCCGGAATCTTGACAATCTTGAAGTGAGCATCATCAAGCACGCACTTGACTTCGATGCTTCCACCACGCCACCAAGTCTCCGCAAGATCGTACGTCCTTGTTTGCGACATTGCAATTTGTCTGAGGTTCAGCTGAAAGTGAGATGAATGTGGCTACAGCGTCTCACTTTTCACGTGAGCCACGTGTTTCTCATGATAAGCGAGGCTTCGGGATAAGCTGTTCATGCACGTGATGCTCATGATAGCCCAATCCCCAGTTCGAATTTTTTTTGATGTACAAATCTTTTTTGTTGGACCGATTCTACTTCAAACCCACCAAAAGCGTGTTAAAAGCACAGGGTGCCTTGCGCATCTTAGGACGCTACAAGCGGAGCGGTCATTCGTTCCGTCATTGATGATGGTCGCGCTAGCCACACGCAGAGCGTGTATAGAACCTATGTGCAATTCTGGGCCAGGTCAAGAGACGTCTCACACTCAGAAGAAACCTTCTAAACCCGAGCAGGCCCGAAATTCAGTAGAGGCGACTTGGTCAGATACGTCCTCAAATTAGCAAAGATTTACTGTCGCACCGCACCCATTCATGCGTACGAAGATACAAATTCACGTTGTCTTGGGAAGACGGACGACAAGTAAGCGCTCATTTATTCAATGTCAGAGAAGCAAATTTGAGCATTCCCAGAGACCTCAACATCGATCCCTTTGGGTATTTGTAGAAGAGTCGAGGGTACTCACAATGCCTGTTCAGGATCGAGATATACGCATAATGCAAAAATACATTTCTTGAAGAGTGAAAGGTACTCACAATGCCTCTCCAAGATTGGTATATACGCATAATGCGAGAAGACATAACCAATAAGATGCGTCTTGAACATATTCCATTGTTGTCGAATGTTTGGGCGTTGAATGTTGGGTCACGTAGACAACGGCATGGTCCAAAATGCGGCCCGCGACCTTGTGATGTATGTTGTACTGATCAAAAGAGATCATGTAGGGTACAAAGACTTTCTAAAAGTGCCAGATGACGACAAGGAGTTTGCCATTTACGAAAAGGTGTGAAAAAAAAGACGGGGTACTCCACCTAATTTCGCCTTTGTTTCGTCAACATACACTTGGCTTCTGCATTTGCCACGAGTCGAAAGATATCTGAAGAAGGCGTCTTTGACAGATTCGCTCCTAGCTGCTCGGTCAGGGCCCTCTTTACACAGGATGTTGCTGAGCTACGGCTTTATCATCAGCCTGCTCGTCTGGTTCATCTACGTGTACAGGCAACTACAGCCTGCTCATGTGGTTCACCAACGTGTGCAAGCAACAACAGCCTGCTCGCCCGCTTTAATGTGTACAGGCAACGATGTCTATTCCAGGCACTGAAGATCAGCGACAGTAGCAGCCACCGTTTCGTCGAGCGAGGTGGGAGCCTTGTTGTAGTAGCGCTGGAGCAAATCCTTGTATCTATGGTTAGGCACGCGGATGTCGTTCCTTGACGCGTCGCCCTGTTAGTCAGGCAATTGCAGGTGCGGCTTGGCCTTTTTGAATGGCGCCGGCGAGCTCCTCGATGGACCAGAGTTCCGTCATGGCAAAAATGCGCTGGTCCTTGATCTCGTCGGCTACGAGGGCAGCCACGTGAGCGCGTGCCACGTCGCGCACATCATTGCAGAAGAAGCCCGGCGGGGTGAGGAACTGGTGGAGGGCAGTCTAAGTGCTAACTTGCCCTCTGCAAGCTGGCGCAGCCAGCCGTACGTTGTAAAGAATGGTGCAGACAGGCCCCGGTCGGGGTTTGCTGGCGGGCCAGACACCCAGTAGGGAAGGGCGTTGTTGAAAGCAAAACCTTTTCCCTTGACTAGCGCCCATGCAGCCTGCTCACCCTTGACTTTGCTCGCCATGTCTGCAGGAGACTACTCTGAGTTCAGACATGCCAAACACTCCGGTAACGCAGGGACAAGACTCACAAACGGCAGCTGCCTTGGAGAGATCGTCGTCCTTCGCACTGTAAGCATACGGGACAATGTCATCCTGATTTGCTTGCTTATCCACAACGATGGGCTGCTTGCCCGTCTTGCCAAAAACAGCGACGCTCGACGACGTGAGAACGACCGACTTGACGTCCTTGCTCCTGGCTGCCGCTTCGGAGAGGCTGGTACTGCAGCTGCCGACAGAGTTGATCACCGCGTCGGGGTCCGTGCTCATGGAAGCATCCATGGCCACGTGTATGATGCCAGAGACGCCCTGGACGGCATGGTCGAGCGCACCGGGGGCCGACGGATCGGCGACCTCGACGATCTCGACGGTGGCCGAGCCGAATTCCAACTCGAGGTGCTGCTTGAGAACCTGGCGCGCGCAGCATCGCGGGTCACGGCGCGCACCTTGAAACCGGCCACAAGGAGCTCGGCGGCGACGCTGGACCCCACGAGACCCGTCGCATTCGTGACGAGCACCGTGGTGCCCCGGCATAATCTCGGCTTGCGAAAGGAGGTATACCCATACCTCTAGTGTAACGCCAAAAATTCGCCAGCTAGAATTCAGCAAGAGCTCCACGTTCTGTTCTCACAATGCTCTATTCCCACAATTCTCACTTTCTACTCAGCGTCATGCAATCATGTAGAGTATTGTAGCGAATGCGTGAAGCGAAATCGCTGAAAAGGCAAATACCGGAGATACCCGTCTCATCTGAGGCCGGCTCCGTAGCACCAAACGCGAAGGAGTCCTTATGTGCAGGAGCATTCAAAAACTCTACCTTACATATACATTCGGATGCTCGTCACAGAGTGACACAGGTTTGCGGACCCGACGAGATTGATAAATGGGTACGAAATTCCTTTCCACACTAGCCTACGTCAGATGATGTGCGCTTCCTTGAGCCGGTCTACATATGGCTTGGGCGCTCGGCCCTCGATCATGAGCTCCAAGGTTGGATCACCTTTATTCCTTGCGCGCTGATAGCCTTCCCTTCGAGAGCTTCGCTCGAGGCAAGGGAGCACATTCCGCCCTTCGGAAAGGTCAAGACCATAGAAGACTCGCATGGTCGTCAGCGTAAAGACAAGCATGATATCGGCTGCAGTGAAATCATCGCCTGCCAGCCACAATCTTGCATCGAGGTGATCATCGAGAAGACAGAGGAGTGCACCTAGTCGCTCTTGAGCCCTCGCGAGACGGGCTCCAGCGTCGTGAATTTGGGAAAGCTGGAGAATGAGCAGAACGAGTGGCTGTAGTTTGCAGTTCGAGGCGTGGAACCAGTAGAGATAGTCGGTAAATCGAGGATGGAAAGGTGTTAAAGACAGCCTTCCGCCCCCGTACTTGTTCATGAGGTATTCAATGATAGCGCTTGACTCCTTTAGCATGACTTTATTGTCTTCGAGGACCGGAGCCTGAGCTAGCGCAGTAACGTCCCTAATAGATTGCGGAGCGAAAAGTGGAGCACGTTTATGCAGCTTCAGTGTCGTACGGTATGCCAAGCTCTTCACAAAGCCAGACTATGCGCTCTGACTGCGAGACTTGCAAGTGATGAATTGTGATCATGCGGGTCGAGGAGCAGAAGCTGGAGTGGATCAAGACTCAGGCCAAGACGATGGAGAAGTAAGGTGTTGCCCATGCTTACATAGCATGCGCTTTTGAATAATCTGGATGCTTACTGCACTGGCTTTGAGAGCCAACTTGCTCATCCGCTGCCTCCTGCCGTCCTTCCGGATCGCTCAGATAAGGCTCGATTCTTTATACTTCCTGCTATTGCGAGTTTCCTTCTACTGCGAGTTAGGACATAGGGGAACTTTGATGCGACCTGTAAGGTGAACAATTCTCACATACGGGTGAGCAATGACTCGCTACTCTTGAAGCAAGCAAGAGCCCTTCATCAAACTTTGACGTCCAACATTCAACTGTTGCCGATCACCACTTACATGGCGCTCAGCAGGGTTACGTTTGCTTGCAAGACGACGGCTCCTGGGTCGCTTGAGCACGTTTAAGCTCGCTTAGATGCAAGTTCGCTCGCCAGAGTACCAAAGACCCTCAAGTGTGTGCCTAAGGCATAGCCGGGAAAAAAGGATGAAATCTTTCGCCTGTTCGCTGGTGGCATTAAACCATCCCTGTGAGAAAAGTTGAGCTCCGACTTTTGAGAGAGTAAGTCAGTTCAGCACAGAAGATCGGTGACGCTCGACTTCGTCATCGTCACTAAGACCTACTTGGGGAAGCCACGCTTCTCTAATGCCTCAAAATTGGTTTATGCGCTCTGCGCAATTTAATGGTCACCAAGAAGTGCGGCACTTCTTGATACATCGGCTTATGCGACATGCATGTAACCAGCTGCCGGATCGAAATCCACAAACCTCCTATCGAAGGCTTTTGGTTGGTCAGAAATGGCTAGTCAGTCTCTCTTACACCTGTACAAGTGAACACGGTCACATTCAACAGCTCGCAATGATTCGCTCACAGGCGCTATAAGCTCAAGATCTTGCAGCATGCAGAGAGGGCAAGGTTGTGCGGATTTGGAAACAAGGCCATTTTGAGATCGCGACGCAAATCAATAAGGTGACGTTCTTGGCACTCTTCTTGGTAAGTTCGACGACCGCTCAGCCTTGCGGTGGTTGCACGACTCGTCATCGCGGAAGATAAGAATGGTCGGGAAGACAATCATCGGATTCTTAACTGCTCGGGCGTGCATTGCGTTGAAGTGATGCACATGGTCTTTAGACCACAAGTAGGATAATGAACATTGAGTGAATGACCCTGACGGAACGGAACCCTTCTGAGAGTGACTTATCAAGGGTTGGTTTACAGATCTTATTAAATTGATGAATCGAAATCGAGCTTATTCTCTTTATACCTGAAATAATAATTTAGGCCAAAAGGCGCTTGATGGCAATGAGTCTGCGCCTGGCAAATAGTATATCAATGCACAAGCCGAATTTTCTGATCATGGAGTCGGAATAGTCGCGAGGTGCAAAACACTCGGAAAATCTGTTACTTCCCATCCACAAATATGTGTGGTGGTCTTCTTCACGGCGCCCCGCATGAATGAGATAAAGTCAGGGAAACAATCAAAGAAAGGCCTGGCCAATCGCCGAGGTCATTGTGGTTTGTGACCATAACATTGCAGTAACGACACGATCATGTGTTCTCGAAATTGGTATATCTGATCACCGATGTTACGCAGAGCATCTGCAAAGCGGTGATATCTACATACTTAAGTCGTTCCGACACCGTGATCCTGGCCGCTATACAGACCCACCGAGCGAGATTATCGAGGAACTGCAGGCCAAGCAGACACCTAATGGCTCAAAAGTGATCCCAAGAAAGTGGAGCAAACAAATCGAAAGCGATGCACGAGAAGCGCTGTACAAGATCCTTACATTCACTGTATAGAATGCTTTGATGTGGTGATCTACAGTGCAAACAGTAAATTAACTTAGACTTTTCGATCATGGAGCGCTTTTTGAGTCCTGTCCGGTCGGCAGATGGTTCGCAGCGCTTGATTTCAGAGGCATTTTCCGACACTTCTGCGCACTCGTTGATTGGAGAAGATCACGCGCCCTTGACGTTCTTCTGTACCATGCGTTCGCTTCTCAAGGCTTCCAAGAAGAACCCCAAATTCATCATAATCTCCTCGCAAGCAAGTATGCAAGACAATTTCAGCCATCTTCCTCGCGAAGATCTAGCTACAGTATCAACAAGTCAACCACTAATGCGTTGGGCGCTAGAATTGCGGCAGATGAGAAAGACATCATAACCTTGATGCTCCACACGGACCTCTGGTCTGCTTGCATACCATTAAGGGAAGCGACGAAATATTCTTTATCGCTTTCAGCAGAAAAGAAAAGGAGCCAAGCTCCTCATCATAGCGCAGCGAGCAATTCGGATAATCGACGAAGCACGAGAGGAGGACTCTGGACGATTTGTGGACGTAGGCATAGGCAAGACGCTCACTTGGTGACCATCAAGAGGCCCAACTCTCGCTTTATCGTTATTCTCTGTCCTGTTGAAAATTTTGTGAGTCGTCTGCAAGAATTAAATCGAGACCTTCGTCGTGCTGATGGAATCTCGGAACGGTGTAACGTTGTCTCATCGCAATCATGATGAAAAGATCACCTTCAGGGCAGTGCTCGAGCAGAAGACAAAACCGACGGTCATCGTCCTGCTTGAAAATGTCGTGAAGTGTCAAAACGGAGGGATGGCTTTATACGTTTGCATGGAGGAAGCCTTCTTGCTTTTGGCTTTTGCGCTCCTCGTTGTTGAAGCCGACCTTGCAAAGGCACTTGACGACGTACACCATCTTCGACCCAGGTTTCGCGGTCGTCTCTAGAAGATGCGCCGGCAACGAGTTTGTGTCCCTCACAAGGTAGACCTTACTTGATGGGCTATAGCCTAGGAACGCAACACACGCGAAGCGGCCACCAGTACTCTGCTCAACGGAAGGTTGTGCTCGTTGCTGCATCAAGAATAGCGAAGAGGTCAAGCTCGTTGAATGAGAGGAGGTATGTTTTTCGGCAGCTACCTAGATTGTATCTGCGGTGACCTTTGCCACAACGCTCAAAACAGACCTTCTGTTTCTAGGGTCTAGGGTCTAAGCACTTTGCTGAGCAGGGAACGGACACGTCCCCATTGGGCGATGTAGCAAGTATTTCTACACGACAGCGAACAGGCAGCTTCGAAAACATTCTTTAGGAAAATGCTCTTACAAGGCCTCGCTCAACGATTGGAGGTAAAATAGTATTGTCTACGGAGAGATAGCGTCGCTTTTGTAGCATTCTGCGGGAGTTTGCCCGCAATGACGATTAGTCGCCATAGTGTGTCCGCGCTATGCAGCAGTAACAGTGGCGTGTCAGAAAGTCGGAAACACGAAGGGTCATAAGTAGAAGTGGAAGAAGGTAGGGGCCTGACACTATTACCGAATTCCCACGGTACCAACGTGTGGATGCAGCTCACAGTACTCCAATGGAAAGTCTTTGAGTTTCAGTAGGGATCTACCAGGCCGGCAACACCTTAAAAGCAGAACGTTTCGAGTTCTTGTCCCTCTCTTGCTGCACAAGTCCTGCTAAGAAAAGGCATTGCCTCCTGACAGCCAATGGGTGGAGGGCAGCGCGCCCACGAAGTGAGAACAGCTCGTCGCTTCTCGTGGTTGCACTGAGCGCCCAGACCGGCCAACGGGGCTACTACGGCGCTTACTTCAAGGGCTACCAAGGCACACTGCTCGCTCAGAGGGGTGCTAAAGTCTGTGCCAAGTCCTACGTTGAAGGAGCTGTCGATTTCTTCTTTGGCCAGCATATTCAGGCTGATTTCCTGACTGCGACGTCGGTGTCTCGGCCGGCAGTGGATACGTCATCGTGAGCGTGCGTATATGGTCGAGCGAGAACTCCGGTTATGACATCAACAGCAAAAGCTTCCAGGCCACTTCGGGTAAGTAAGTCAGCAGTGGGAGCATCACCTTTGGTCGGCTATGGGGCTCTACGCCACGGAGTATGTCGAAAGTCGACGCTCAGCTCCATCATCATCCTGGCCGGCTCGAGTGTGAGCGCGACGAGCGCACGACGAATGCCTACCTGCCGAATACGGCAACACAGATGCCGGCGCCTCGGGACAGAGGGCTTCCTTCTCCAAGAAGCTCAGCTCTGTAGTCGATGTGACCACAGTCTTTGGCTCGTCGTGCCAGAGTTGGTCGGACAAGTTCTACCTCTAAGCCGATGCAAAGCCGCCGTTAATCTCCATAAACCTCCTCTGTTCTTTCTTGGCTTTTTCAATTTCCGGAAAATAGTAGGTCAGACGCAGCGAATACATTGTATGTTTGCCGATCATCGTAACTGCCCCCCTGCCACCTCGTTTGAGGTGGGCAACATGTCTCTTCCCAGTCTCGAAAGCATGTCATTTGAGCACCCGTATACCCTCGTAAGTACTATCTGCGCTGAAACACCCTGATGGAATAAGATACTGTACTGTACAGCGAGTATAAGAATCGAAGGATTGAGAGGGGTAAAATGACCAATGCAGGTGTCTATGAGCGGCTTGGCAGCATTAGATGTTTCGGCCTCGGAACATCCGAAGGTACCTTAGTGGAAGCCATCGAGGCACAGAGCTGTGACATTATCGGAAAGGAGTGACGTAGCCATGTCGCCCTGAGATTAGTGTCGGGATCGCGATATCCGCGCGTGGTGAGGAGGCTGTTTCTCATTGAGATGGACAGAATTGAATTGACTGGCGAATAGGAAGCGTGAGCGCGCGCCGGAGCCATTAGGCGAGCACGTCGGCTGCAAAACGAGACCAGTCTGTGATACAACGGGGGTAGAGCAGGCGTAGGACAAAGCGCAGCTGCCGATCCATTGCGTTGCAGAAGGACGCTTCCAGGGCACGGCCTCTTCACTGCGGAGCTGAGCGAGCAGCACAGGCTCAAAGGCCGGCTCGGCGTCTTCCTCGACCTGTCGCAGGCGAAGATGTAGTCGAACGGGCATCGGAGCGGAAGAAGTTGCGCTCGAGGGCGCGCGTGAACGGCGGGACAGAAAAGCAAGGCGGGGCTGTTATCGAACATGATGAGCGACTCGACAGCCTACCCCTGCTCTTTGAGCAGCTACACGAGCCGTGGGCGCCGCGGCATCCAGAGCGCACCCAGGCAAAAAGCAGCTAGGCGGTACGGCCCTGCGGCTGCACCCTACGGATCTGGTCGGCGTAGTTCTGGAGAATCTCGTCTGCACTGCAAAGCATGGCAGAGAGTTGGGTCCCGCGCACGCCAAAGACGGGAAATGGCAGCCCAAGAGCCCAGTGGCGAAGTGCCGAATAACAATGCCTCCGCCGTGGAGGATGAAGAGATTCTGACCATCGGCGACATTGTTGAGAGTGACGACGCAGTCGTCGGCATCCAGCTCGCGGCTCTCGCGATTCTGCAACGGAAGGTGATGTCCGGCAGTAGCAGCGAGTGCCTCGAGACGGCCGAGGTTGGCATCGCTGAGGAGCTGCAGCTGACTCACGTCAACGCCAAAGTGCTGTCGAATGGCGGCCGACAGCCTCGAAGCAGAGAGCGAGTCGAAACCGTAATTTTTGAGAGCGTTGTCGTCACGCACCTCGTTCGGATCCATGTCCAGGTGCATGGCGAAGAGCGACCGCATCGAGACGCTGGCGGCCATGCAGGTGTGGGTTGAGATGCGCTGGTTCATGAGGTGGATGCACAGGTGCCGCATGGCGCCCTTGAAGCGAGCGAGCAGGGAGATATCGAGCTGGCGACAAAGAGAGTGCTGGGCGCGCAATGACAAAAAGAGTCCTGGCACGACATCCCAGTGCAGCATGACTGTGTCGCCCATGGCCACAGTAGCATCTCGTCCATGGAGCAGGCCGCGTCCACCCAGACCCTCGAGCGCGACACGCTCTTCTCCTGGGCTGTGGCGCGCGCAAAGGTGCCGACGTCGCTAATGCTGGGCACGAGCATGGCCACGCCGCGGGGCCGTTTGGCGAGGCTCATCTACATGTTGGTGGCGCTGTAGTTTGCAGGAACTTGGCTGCCGTGCAGCGACAACAGGCTCGCGGTGGCGATGAGCCAGGCATCCTCGGTAAGGTGGCGTAGGAGATCCTCGAGCCCATGCAGCTTGGGCCGGGAGACGTGCTCAAAGTCGGCCGTGGTCAGATCATTGAGGCGCTTGTCGAAAAGGGCGAGCGGGAGAAAGAATGCGCCTTGTAAATCATTGTCGGCGCAGAGCTGACGGGTAGCGACACCATCGACTGCATCCATGGCCGGTGTCTCGAATCGAAGATCGCTGTGCTGCTCGAGCTAGCCAAAGTCAAACCGATCGACGAAGAAGCCCACTCGAGAAAGGCGTGGCCACCGCCGCGAGACGTGAAGACAAATTGCCGCACACCTCGCGTATACATGAGGTGTACCAAGCGGAGTGCTACACTCGTCCGAGGGACTCTCTGACATCTTGCTCTTCGGAAGCATGGTTGGACGCCATTGTAGCGAAGACTGTTGCACAGCGCTTCGAAGCGAGATGCTCAGGAACGGGATCTCTTCTATACTGAAGTCAATGACGCTGTCGTAGAGCTGGCGAAAATGCTGCAGACTGAGACGCACAATTATTCGGAGACGAGCACGAGATCCGCCCCAAGGTCCATGTCTTCGTCAAAGGGCTCCGCGCTCTTCATGACGCTGAGCGCTTGGAGATCCGATGGCTGGAAGTCCGACGGCAAGCCTTTCTCAACAACAGCCACCTTTGCTTGACTGCATGACTACGCTTTCATGATGCAGCGCAGGATCGCAGAAGCGATGCTGCGCACGTCAACACCGAGAGGCACCTCGATGAGCTTCCCCTCGGGCACGGTGATGGCAGATGGAGCGCCTTCGGTTGACCTAACGTTGACAAAGACGCGCTTTCACCTGTCGGGGCCCGTGGCCAGCGCCCAGGCACCAAGACGCACAATTTGCACGACGTGAACCAGAGCGTTGCCCAGGCCGGTCTGGTGTCACGTGCAGCTCGCCCGTGCCTCCTACACTGATGACATCGAAGGCAGAGCTGCCCAGCAACCAGGGCTGAGGGCTGTCGATGGAGACCAAACGACGGATGTTGACGCTGGCGCCACTCGTCGCGAGCAGTTCTGGCTCGAGTAGAGCGAGACGGAGGGCGTCGTCGATAGCAGACGGCAAGCCCTGCACACCTGCCTCGACCATGACGGCGGCGATGTGCAGGTGCGGGTGCTCCATGCGGGCGTCAGTCCACACGCGGCAAGGCAGTCGTCCGCGGCAGCGACGACGAGGCGGGGCTGCTGCTGCTGCTCGTCGTGGTGCGGGGATGTCGACCTTGTCCACCACCTGCCGTGCGCACCTACTCTTGCCCATCAGATGCTCCTGGTAGCGCTGCCGATGCCTGGGCATGCTCGCATCCCGCTGCTGCAGCTCATTGGCGGCACGGTTGATGTAGAAGAGGCAATCAGTGTCCAGTGCGCGATACTCGTATGCGTGTCCTTTCACAGGCTCTAGGATGCAATTTCCCTGCTCCCACAGTAGCCGGTCGGAAGCGAAGCCCACGGGCTTCCGATGCAAAGCCAGCCTGACGTCCGGTGGACTCGGGTACGCAAAGCTAATTCGCTCATATAATAGCCGATCCAGAGCAATGACGACATAGCCCGACTTTTCGAGGGGCTTTCAGTCGGCCGCGACGCTCTCTGAGCTCCAGGAATGGATGCGAACGTGGACACAGGACGTGTCGCCAGGGGTCAGCCGTGCGTCGACATCGAATCGGGCGCGGACCACGCGCTTGGGAAGGTAGATCTCGCTGGGAAGTGCCGTCATGGGGTACCAGCACGGCGCAATAGAGAAGTGCAGGGTGGCGTTGATGAGCGCCGGGTCGACGAGGTAGCCTCTGCCATGTCCCATCAGCGACCTTGGAGGAGACAGCTTGCATCGCATCACTCACCAATCCTCGGGCAGCCGCTCCTTTGCAATCGCCTCGTCGTCGCCCACATGCACGCCGTCGATGCGCTTGAAGTTGCAGCCGAGTTGGGGGACGAGGTTGTCGAGAATCTGGAGCCACTCGTGCTCCGGCACTGCCTTTGGGCAGCGACTGTTCATGGCCTTGATGTCCTCGGCCTCACCGAGCGACGCGCCTTGCACCGAGTAGCGGCCGTCGACATGGCGCGTCTGTGTTGGAGGAAAGTGAGCAGGTGCCGGCAGAAAGAGCATCAGATGTGTGGACCCACCTCGACGAAGCTGTTCATCCCCGAGACGCTCTGTGAGACGAGGGAGAAGTGACTGTTGCCATGCGGCCTGTCGAGCGACAGCCTCGAGGGTGCCTCGCCCGGGGCCGGGATGTGGATGGGCATTGCTACGTGGATGCGCATGCCGCGCAACTCGCAGCACCCGGGAATCGTCTCCAGCGCAGCAGCCATGAAGCCAGCAGCAGGCATGCAGGACACGCTGTTGACGGTATGCTCGGCCAGGTCAGGGAGGATGTCGGCCGAGATAGCGAGACCGGGCGAGTCGGCGCAGAGACGCTGCCGTCGTCACAGGTGGGCGAGTTCATCCTTGGGGACCTGCACTGGCAGCTGCGTCTTCTCAAACATTATTTGTGCGTCGGCAGGCCGTCCTCCATCGGCAGGTCGTACCCAAAGACCGGCCAGGTCGCCATGCTGCCCGCGGCGGAACAGCTCGCTCACCGTGGACAGAAAGGCGACCACGTCGGTCTCGAGGCACGCCTCCTCATCGTTCGTGCTCTTTGCCCGATGAAGCGCAGGCAGGCAGGCGGGCGTGCTCGCCTGCTGCTCCAGCAGCCCGCCCAGGACAGGGTGGGGCGACAGCTCGAGCACGGCGGCGCCAGTCAAGCAACGGTTTAGCGCGCGACAGCAGTCGTCAGACTGGACCACGTTGCGCGTGTTTCGCTACCAAAAGTCGCAGTCAAAGGGCCCGTGGAAGGCGTCCTCCCTCACGGTGGAGGAGAAGACGTCAATGCTGGCTTGGTGTCGGATTTGGCCTTTGTCGAGACCGTGTGCTGCGAAGAGCTCCTTGACCTGTGCGACGAGGCGCTCCCGCAGCGGCTCCATGAAGCTGCTGTGGACCGCCACGTTGGTCCTCAGCATGGTGCACTGCACGTCTTGTGCGACTGCCTGCGCACGGAACGAGTCGAGGATGACGCGCTTGCCCGCGAGCGTGACAGCCTCTGGCCCGTTGATGGCGGCAATGTCCAGCGACAGCGACAGCGCATGCATGAGCTTGGAGGCCCGTCGCGAGGAGCAGGCGACGGCGATCATGCCCGCGCCCTCTGCTTCCGTCTGGGGCATGAGGCCGGCACGGATGACGCTGAGCCGGACGGCGACCTCGGCTGCCGTGGCCCAGGCCGCGTCGTCGCCAGTGCCAAAAGCGCCACGACGTAGGTCATGGCCGTCTCACCGGCACTGTGCGCCAGCATGGCTTGTGGACGCAGCCCCAGGGAGCGTAGCAGATCGACGAGGCCGACCTGGACGACTGTCAGAGCGGGGAGGATGTGCAGCGTGGACCACCGACTGTTGGCCTCCCACAGCGCTCCCCTTTGCACGCCAAACAGACCGTCATCCTCGATCAGGCTCCAGCCCACGACGTCCCGATAGACTCTGTCGCTGCGGAGCACCCATTCGCGAAAGGTACTGAACCGCCCGAAGAGCGCCCGGCCCATGTGAAGGTGCTGTGGCCCCTGGTCAGGAAAGAGAAAGGCAGGGGAAGCCTCAGCCCAGGGCCTCGGTCGCCCAGCCCTTTTCAAAGCCCTTACGATGCTGTGACCCACTGCGCACGTCGCCCAAGGATTCTGTCTCGCCCGTCGAGCGAGGGTCGACGCCATTGCGTGGAATCCGTGTCTGGGTTCGAAGGAGTCGAGCTGGTGACAGAGCTGCGCAGGCAGCCGGCTCGGTGAGGCTGCTGACGACAAGCACGTGCAGCTGCTGCTCCCTATCGTCTGGGCTTCCTCTCGCTGCCACTCGTCGAGTGCCATCCGCGATGTCGAGTGTCCTTTATTCCATCTCCGCCCCCTCTGGGCCCCCCACGAAACCCTTTTCATTTGTCAGCTCAACCGACTGCTCGGTGGACCCTCAGACTTGTTACATCACCAAGTGTTCCAATCGTAAGATAATGGCATCCTTCTTTGAAGGGCGCGTTGCATGGTACCAACGAGCTTAGACCGCTCTGGCATGTTTTTTTCGCGAGGCTACAGAGTGTCCCTTTCTTACGCGCGCTTGGGCAACGGCGAAGTGGTCTGGGCATGGACGTTGACGAGTGTGTACCTTCGATCCGATGTCCATGCGGGGAGTTGAAAGAAAGGCCGGGTCACGAGCATCGACTAGCGGCATCATAAAACTGAACAAGACTCAGTCGTGCCAAGGCTACGTGAGGTGAAGAGTTTTGTTCGACTACCTTCGTCTGTTCGTGAAGCACATCGATGTGACGGAGGAGCTTGGTCACCGAAGCTTTCGCCTCTGTGACATCGCTGGAAGCAATGCCACGCAGAAGAGAAAGAAAGAGCTCCTGATTGCATGGCGCCTACGCGCGCTATTGTCTTGCTCGCGGTCCACGTCAGGTAAAAAAAAAATTATCCGAGTCGCAAACGTCGGTGTATGCGGCGTCGGCGGGGCTCTTCCCGAAAGACGGGCAACGGGTGAAGTCAATCTTAAATGCAGCGTTGGCGTCGCAGTCCAGGTTGCCAACGCTGTTATCCGACTTGAACTCAAGCGGAAGGAAGATAGCCGCCGAAGCCAATGCGAGGCCCACCGGACACCGAATTCGAGTGCCAAGTGAGGCTTTGGCGACCCGTGGCGGGATTGATGGGGTTAGGTTAGAGCAAGATAAAATTCGGGATTAGTTTAAGGTTAGATTTAGGACTGACAACAAAACTACCTTCTAGCAGCATGTCCAAAGTCAACCGACAAGGGCGATAACAGCAACGACATCAACTCAAGAACCCCCTTCAGCATTCTTATCGGCGCGGCTTTAATGCTTGCTGTTGCTGCTATGGGGACGGTGTAGCATCACCCGTGTGTTTCTTGAGCTGAGACATATGCAGACCTCCAATACACAAAAGTCTGTCTGAAGACCGTGCGAGAATAGCTCAACCCAACGTGAAGATCTCTGAAGAGCTGTCAGTTGTTCTGGCAGACGCTGTGTCCTGGCAATGCTGCTACTGCAACCTTGTCTAAGACCAGAATAAATAAGTATTATCAATGTGCATGTGCCCTGCGTTGGTGGAATAGTCTTGCTAGTCATCATGTTTCAAGGATCGTGCACAGATGTCGTTCACAGAAGGGAACGGCTTTATTTTCATTCTGCATGTATGATGTCCCTTGAGAGGTTCGAAAAAGGGCTGCAAGCTTGCTGCGGAGATTGCAGCCAGCGAGTATTCGCAAATCGGCAACGAAATGCTCCAGTAAGGTCGAGAGAGGACTCAATGGCAAAGAGTGACTTGTTTTGTTGAGCTCGAGAAAGTCTGCAGCCACGTTTAAACGCTTCTGCCTTCAAGCTGTCGACTAAAGTCTTGACAAGTGTCAGTCAAGTATACGGAGAGATTCTAAAACTAAATCAACACCAAACAATACTCAAAGACAGGCCTTCTCCGGTCTAGCACCGAGTGCTAGATACACAGGATTTCCGACAAACGTCTCTCTTGATCTTTGTGGTTGCTCAAAGTTGCATTTCGTCTACCTCAGAGAGTGTGATCGATCCAAGACGCTACCGGAAATTAGTTTCGTGTAGGAAGAAGCTGTAACGTAAATATTTCACAGTCATCAATCTGTCTGCTGCATAGTATTTAAGAATCAGTTCGTGGGCCAGAATCTAAATCGAGAGCTCTGCAACACCAGAAAGATGCTCAAATTTACTTTGGCAGTCTAGAGATTTTCAAGAGCCTCGAGATTTTCGAGGGAGCCGGACTGTTCTTTGGCCTGTACTTTGGCCTGAATTTTCACCAGATACGCCTTGTGGAATCCTTGTTCCCATTGCTCCCATTGTTCCTATCGCTCCCATTGTTCCCACTGTTCCTATTGTTCCTACTGTTGCCCTTGTTCCTATTCTTCCCATTCTTCCCATTCTTCCCATTGTTGCCATTGCTGCCAGTGCTCCCATTGCTCTCGTACTAATCTTCGTATTTTCGTTTCCATCATTCTCACTGTGTTGACACAACTTGCAATAGACACGACTGAAGCTATGTTCCGCAACACATGACAAATGGCTTCTGGACTGGACCCATGCAAAGTCATGAAGAAGCTTATCGGTTGATCGGAGCCAGAACGCGTTTGTGGCGCTGTCGCAGACGAGAATGTTGGAGTACAACTCATACCTAAGTCAGGAACAGTGAATGAAATCATTACCTCTTGGGGAAAATTGTTGACAAGAGAATAGAGCAGAAGTGACGGGTTGCAAAGTGCCCAAAACGATGGCTGCAGCTTGCCTGGGTGTCGGTTTTCAAAGAAGGAATATCGGGCCAAGGCTCGGAGAGCTAAGGTCGTACTCGCATCACGGACAGTTGCATTAAAGCCCACAGGGCCACAAGGCCAATCTCCAAGCCTCCCTTTACCTAGCACAAACAAAGGCAACGCCTCCAGTCTGCATGAATCCTTGACTCAGACCACTTCAAATGGAGGTAAAGGGGAGAGGCCGGCGGCTGAAATTCAAAGAAAAGGATAATGACCGGCCCCATCGACACTAGAACGTCCAACGAAGCCAGCGAAGGCACTCCTCGAATCAATCTCCGCCTGTTCAGTGGATCTGCTTAATTCGCTGAACCATATCCATATGTTTTGCCATAATCGACGAGAGCATGGCGAAGGTAATGGTGTCGATCTTACTGACGTTGATTAGCTCTGCGCGCTCGAGGATTGAGCATCCAAACAGGTGCGCTACGATGAAAAACTTTCTTGCTCGCTCGGCGCGTTTTCGAAGTCCTGCGTAATTTGCAGGCTCACTTCGTTGATTCTGCAAGATCTTCAGTAGGGTTGGATACGCTTCGTCATGGAAGCCCTTGCTTGCGACGTATTCGAGCGAGCTTGTTGCGGACGACACGATCAAATCCGCGTAAGCACGTCCAAATT